CAATACCTATGTCATAGACGACCTTGAAAGTATTCAAATTGCATTGGTACTTTAAATGATTTGAATACTTTTCTTGGAGGTTCTTAATGAACATCCTCACAGATTCTTTTTCAGTAGAACCTCTACCGTCATAGCAAAAGTTTCCCTCCACTTGTTGAAGAAGGAAGTAAATCCTTCGTTTTCTTTTTGTTTTAATATCTTAAGCTCCCTATGGTCAGTCTGAACTTGGATGTTACATTTGTATCTATCAATGAAAGTGTTTGTGATAGAATCTCAAGAGGAGGTCTTCTCCTTTTCTGGGGATAAAAACCATTGTTGATAAACGGTTTCAAGATATAGCGAGAATAGTGAAGGGAAGACCATCCTATCAATGGCCTTAATACTCATTATAGTCTCGAAAGATCTTTAAGATAAATAAGGGTTTTCGGTATGCTTGAACTTAGGGATGTCATTGGCATTGAACTTCTACATAAGAAGTTCCTTGTTTACTCAGACCCCTTGGGAGCTAATTCCCTAAAACTTGTAGCCTTTGGAGATTTTGCTGAGGCTTTCCTCCATACACTCAAGTTGTTGTTGCTTGACAAGATCGTTAACTTCAAGAGAAATAGTCTTCAACATCTCAGTCAAGTTGTTCATGTTTTGCTTTAGCTCATCAACTTCCTGTTGGGTAGCCATTATTGCAAACTTTTTCTGGTGTCTGATGGGTTTGTCAAAGAGTAGTACTTGAAAGAAGGTGTTGTCCTTGATTGATCATCCTTCTCTTCTTAACCAAGTGCTTTTATATTAAACTATTGTTATTTATCGACTCGACTCAAATTGACTTTTACTTTTATTGTTTAAGTAACAAAAAAATGGGGTGCATTTTTTAGAAAGCATAAAATGGGGTGCATTTTTGGGAATCAAGTTTATAGTTCAAACAACATGGTTATATTGGGAAGATTAATATCCGACTTAACCCGCCTAAAAAAATAACGGAGAACAGGCACACACAAGACTCTTTATACATAGTCATAGAGAAACTTACATAAAGTGTGTGCTTTTAAATAGTGAATGAAAGTGGCATGATTGACACTTGTGTAAGACCATGGGATAATGTGACTAGACTTAATTAAGGACTGAATAAACTTCGGTTATTAATAAATTAACTAATCGGACTTGGCACGAAGACTCAAGTACAAAACTAAACCATCGCGCAACTAAGGGAACCACCGCGTCGCACCAGAGCCAACACGATGCGATATTTCTATCGTTTCGCAATGGACGCTTGCGCGTCGTGCCACAGGCCAGACTTCCGCTTCATTAAAAAAAGTTAGTTTGAACCTGTTTCCAGTGTTCAACTTTAAAAGGGACAAGCATATAATCGTGCCAAATCATGTATAGACAATTTGATTAAACTTTAATTACTTACTTATTAATTAATTAATTAATTAATCAAAGTCCTTTAGTCATTAATTAGTTTATTTAGACTGACATACAAGCCAAACAAATACAAGCCAAACAAACGGTTAGTGTAACACATATAAGCTATGCACAAGCAAGAGATGTACAAGTAGTCAAATAAGCACAATGTGATGCAATGAGTTGGCAACCTAACCATGGCTCTAGTTCTCTAAAGTTCAAGGATAAAGGTAGTTACAAAAGGGTCCATAGTCATGAGTCCGAATGCATCGCGCGGAAGCCTTACCTTTGGAAGGGTTGGCACGTATAGATGGGACCACGCAAGTTAAACTTGCTTCCATGGTTTGGTGAATTCACAAACTTGGACGTACCCTTCTTTGCAGTGAGTGTTCGATTGGGTAGATGGAGCGTGAATTCCCAGGGAATTATGAGCATATGTAGAACAAATATGGGTTTCAGCAGAAAAGTGACGCGAGGAAAACCTAGGTCGTTGGGGTCTAGATTTCCCGGCCAAAACAATATTTATAAACTAAACCAAACCGAGGTATAGGGTAATCTTGGTCAAATCCCAAGGGAAGGAGGGAGTGTTAAGGTTGATGCTAAGCTATTTCGAAAGCTAGAGAGTGGGTTGGTTATACTAATGGGAATCAAATTAATTAAGCAAAATAAAATAGAATTCAATATCAAACACTAGAGAACTTAGGATCCACATTCTTGATAACAATCAAGCTAATTTGGGAGGATTAAATTAACAAAGCGATGTGAGGGAAAATAGAACAAGCAATCATAGTCACTCAATAGGCTATTTCCTATGGCCAAGCTAGATTTCTCTACAAATGACTTCAATAGGAAAATTACAAATCGAGATCAAACGGTAATAATAGCACTCAAATCAATTGTTCGTGTCATTGATGGCTATTATGAAATCTAGCATGATCCTAAAGGTTAGCTACTCCGCTTCCAACCAAGCACATGCACAAGTTTTATTAACCAATTTAATCACATCAACAATTCAATCAAAACCCCAATATTAGCATTAGTTTATCACCAATACATGCTTCACCACATTCCCTAGCAAATCAACTACTCACTAATCATGGTGAAATTTAAATGCAAAACAAAAGAAATCATCAATCTAATCATCAACATTGAAGTTTAACTTCAATAGTCAAATTCAAGCAAAACAATAGAAATTCAACTATATAACAAAATCAAACATCAAATTGTATTGAAAAGTAAAGAATTCTTATAAAACTCTGATCAATATCAAAGAGGAATGAATATCTCAATAGCACAATCATCAATTATCAAGCTTCTCTCTCTAGAATCCAAGAACAATACCACAAAATCAAGAGTTTCTCTCTCTAAAAATCTAATCAAAATCTAATTCTAATTCTTTCTCCAAAAACTTCTCTCTCTAAAACTTCTAGGAAATTTTATTTATATCAAAACTAACTCTAAGGGACTTAGTTAGACGTTCCAAAAATAACCACAAATAGCGCGGCCCTTCGCAAGCATGCGTGGACGCTACAAAAAGGGTACGGAACAAGGAAAAGGAAGGGCGCGGCCGCTCAATTGTTGTGCGCGGCCGCGCATAAGCCTGACACGACCGCTCCTCACCCGTGCGCACCCGCGCAACTGGAGTAGGGGAAATCCCTTGGTGAGGCTGAGCTTGTCCTCGTGAGCTCTGAATGAGCCATGATGCAATAGGCAGTAAGTTCAGCACTCTGTGGTGGGTTCGACACCACTCCTTCATGCCCAGACGGCATGAAGGCGTAACTTAAATGGCCAAGCTCTGTAACTCCTTTTCTCTTAAGCTTCAAATGAAGAAACGAGACATCTCTTTTGGCTAAAAAAATCCGAGGAGAGAACACTTGATATTTTCAAACATCACTAACTTACTATAAAAAAAGAAAATCAAGCTAGTAAAGAACAAAATGCAAAATATACTAGAAAAGCAAGAAAATAAGAAAACTTCTAAGAAAATAGAAAAATAAAGAAAATGTAAGCAAAACTAGAGAAAATAAAGTACAAAGAGATACAAAAACCATGTAAACTCATCCTAAAAAAAGCCAAATGAGTGCTATAAATGACACTCATTTAAAAGAGGGAAAGAAAAAAACTGAATCAGGAAGTAAAATCGACCAAACATTACTTGAACCGGTCAAAGCAAGAAGGCAGACTCCTGGCTCGGTATTGGAAGAACATGGAAAGAGAAAACAAGGACCATCGCACTACGATGGGGTATGTTCTCTCAGCGACAGTTCCTACATGCCTCAACAGTTTTTGTGTTCTTAGTATTTTCCATTTTTCGCAGCGTTTTTTTATTCTAGTTGTGAAAGATATTTCCCAAATTTTCTACGTGTAAAAAGCCTATGTTTTTGACGCATTACGGATGGTCTTTCCAATGGGGATCTTTTTATGCTTATGCCGATAATGTCAAATCAAAATTACGCACATGAATACTTAGAACTTTTCGAGTCTGATCCACTCATTCTAAATTATTGCTAAAATAAATTTTAGGAATTAAAATAGAAATCCTCTCCAGTGGAGTCGCCAAAAACTATAGGGAATATTTCAAGCATCCTACACTTTAGCCCCACTGTGATCATACACTTAAGAATGGTGGCGTCTAAAGGGAAAGAAGCTAGAGCAAAAGAGTCTCCAACAAGTGTTAAGAACTTGTAAATTGTTCATAGGGTGAAGGTTACACCCCTTCACGACCTATCAGATTGCTAACTCCATAGTGATCTGGAACCATGAATGGATATTCGGGGATGAAGGTACAAATGCAACCTAAACGAGATTGAACCTGCCTAAAATAAGCCTCAACTTTATTCTTCTTATATTCATGTGCGCTTTCCGATCAACATGCAATCATTATATTATTCCTAAACCTGTTTAATCTATGTTTGTTGAATATTAATGCACAAACAAATCTTTTATTGGTGATCACTTGAATTAAAATCATATTAGCCTAAATAAATTATTAATTTTCTTATTAAGCGTGATTTCAAGTACAAATTCCTTTTAAACCTGAAAGAGAGGACGTGATTAAGAAACAACAATAATATTAAGTAACATAATAATATCGATACAACAAATCATCATCATAATAATAATATTCTCATCAAAGCATAATAACTTTACCAAGATCCTAGGCATGATACTAACATGATTAATAACAAATCCTAGCATTTTAATAAATAATAAAGATCAAAGCTTTAACCTTAACATGATACTAACAAGATAGGAAGCAACCTAAACATGATACTAGGAACCAAAAATAATATTAGAAATATTAGTTAATACCCTAAACATGATACTAGGAATCATAAAGACATCCTAACATAATACTAGGAATTAAAATAATCTACTACATTTTTTATCAAATGCGAAGGCTAATGTAAAGCTAATGCGACGGTCAGATGCAATACCGTTGCAATAGCCATATCTAATGCAACGGATACCTACTAGCCGTTGCAATAGCATAATCTAATACAATGGTTACACCGTAATACAATTGGGCGTCGCATTAGGGTTCAAAGCCGTTGGATGTGGGTGGTCTAATGCAACGACTAGTCAAAATATGAAAATATTATTCAGGCGCGTTAATTTCCCTCTTATATTTTCCCCCCAAATTTCATGACCCTTTATTTTTTTAAGAAACCCTAGAAAATTTAACCTTTTGAATGTCCTCATTCCTCTACGACTCTACCCTCTTATTCTCTCTCCTTGCAGCTACAATATAATCATAAATCTTGTTCAAATCCTCTCAAACAACTTAATCCCCAATAATATCAGTCGATAAAAGAGAAATTCGCTGAGATAATAGATCAAAGATCGGGCATCAAAAGCTATAGCAGGGGAATTTTTAGGGAAATTATATGAAAAACCCAGGCTTGAGAAACGATGTATGCTTTGGATTTGGTTCTGGGTTTGCGTTTGGGTACAAATCTCAAGGATTATGACCAAAGAGTGCCAAAAGGTTGAGCTTTTTCTCCAGGCCAGTCATGGAGGATTTGAGTTTAAAAGCTTCTAGAATAACTTCATTGGCCACAAGAATAAAAAAATTAGGGTTCTTGTTCTTTGAAGTTTCTGGATTTTGAAGATTTTTGTAATTTTTTTGCTCTCTCTCTAATCCCCGATAAAGCGTACTCTAATCTCCATTGAAGCAATTTTTAAGTTCCTCTCCAATTGAAACAACTCCAGGGTAAGACGTTCGTTCAACTTTTTATTAATATTATTATTATTTTGTACTTCTTCCCCTAATATTCTCCTCGAATCTCTCTGTTATTTTCTCGAATCTCAGCTTTTGATTTTGATCTAAATCCCTAACTATGGCTGACCGTAAGATTCATCTGCCGAACGATCTCCTTTTATCGATTTCCAAAGGTAAATCCTAACATTCCCCTCTTTTCGTCATCAATTTTGATTTTTGATGTTTTGAAGAGTTTGTAAAATGTTATGTTACAACTTTTCAATTTGAAGAACAATGGATTTCTCTTTTTTTCTTTGATTTTTTGTTTCATTGGTATAGTTTTGGATCAGATTTATTTTTTTATTTTTTTATAATCGTACTAATGTTGTATTTTTTTTTGAAAGCATCGTACGTATGAATGTTGTATAAATACACTAGTACATGTTTATCTTTTTTTTTTTGGTAATCTATCTGATTGGATGTTTTTTGTTTTTTTGGTTTTATTATTGCTTTTGTCAAAAGGTGCTTGTTTAGCTCAATGATGTTGCTTGCGTAGGCGTGTGTATTCATGGAAATCTATTAGTAGCTTTGAAATTTCTGGATTTGTTTCACTTAACAGTGTCTCGTATTTAATTTATTTCCGAAACATGTATATATGTAACTCAATTTATTTGATAGAAGAATGTAGTCGTTATGTTGTTGCTTACCTAGTATTTCCCTCTATTGATACCCTGCTGTTTCATCCCTTCCTGTTTTTGTGCTGCTGACCACTTGTTGTCGCACTATTGTGTGCTTGTTGTACTTGGTTCGAATGATAAATTAAAAGTTGAGAGATGATGGTGTTCATAAAGTTAGTCGAATTATTAATCAAGTGATCGTATTGTTACGGGTAGTGTTGCTTTATTGCTTAATTATCTTACAAATTAATACCTGCAAATAAAAGAACCTTACATCTAAGAATTTTATCTTGGACATAAAACCTTAGCATCACCATTATCTTAACCCGACTTGGACTGTGTCCTTGTTGTTTATCAGTCACAATATCTTCTATATAATGTGGATAAAATGAAATAGTTAAGGGTGGAGCAGTTTTGGCGTACCATCTTTGTGAAACGCATAATTCCAAGTAGTTCACTAGTCTCATCTATTTGCTCTGTTAGAGTTGTTTTACTACAACTTGAGAGTTCAGAAGTGGAGTAGCTTTTATGAAATACACAATTCTGAAATCCATGATGCAGTAGATGCTGGCATTCATGAAACCCATGATATGTATATCTGCTTGTTTTTATAGGGGATTATTCTGCTAAATCTATTAATTTTATTACATCCTATTCCCATTCTTTGGCTGGCATTCAAGAAGTTACTTACCTACCACTAATGGTGATGGAAAAGTTTACAAATTTTGCACTGGTGTTTCTGAACAAGTACTTCTCTACAACCTAGTGGTATCATCCGTCTTTTTGACACTCCTAGATGTATCAATGCTGACATGCATGATAGCAAGGCCTTTTGATTAGTCTGTTGTTACTATCATAGCAGTCGCTCTGTTTGTTTTGTTTATTTCACTCTGAATCTCGACATTCTTTTCTGCAATACTTTATACAATATCACCGGGCTGCCTTTAATACTATGCTAGCAGGTTTGTATTCTCCTTCTAATGATTTTATGTGTGTCGTCTCTTCTCCTTCTAATGATTTGAAGCTTGGTGACTTATTTCAGATTCTTAAATAAAATTAGATTACTTTGTTTATTTGGTAAACTAATTGTATCACTTAGATTTGAGGTTTCTCAAGTAGTGTTACTGAGGATTATTTAAGTCTATGAAAGAATGAGTTGCAGCAGGTTTATGATACAAATTTGCTTTATTCTTGTTTGATTTAATTGGCTGGTTATATATAAAATTTTGTGTGTTTTATCATAGCAACCGGTCTGTTTGTTTTGTTGGAGCAGGTTTGTAAATGATAAAATTACAACATGGTTGTCCTGTCATAAATGGAATTTGCAACACGATTTTTGGCAGTCGTAAATAGGTCAAATTGACTGGATTTTAGCCCATGGTAATTGGCTTTTGCGATGGGATTATAACAGGTTATACATTCTACGACGACCCCTTTCTAGGACGGGCTCTCGATAGAAAATGCCGTGATAAATGAACTTTTATGACGGGTTTTCGACGGGATTTCATGTCCTTAATGAACTCGATCTAGTAGTGTGTTTTAATTTCAGGTTGGGGGGAAACAAACATCAAGTTCCCTTTTTTTGTAGTGCTTAATTCTTATATATATATAACCGTTTTGATTTGTTTGTGTGTTTTGTTTATTAGGGGATTTAGATTGATGGGATATGTGTAAAAACGCTAGAAGTGGATACTAAAGCTGAAGAAGATGCTTCCTGAATTGGTCTTGAATTGCTTTACTTGAGAAATTGGAGAAGCATGAGAAAGAAATGATAATGCGGTCCAAAGAATTGCTGAAATTGTTTAGGGGATATAATGATTTAGTTTTAAGTTTTTAACACTTAATTGTTTTTTTTTGTTAGTTTAACTAGTGATAATTTAATTTTGTAATTTTCCTTGTAAATAACAATGTACAAACTTTTAATTTATATTAATAAAATTCTATTTTTTTTTTCTTTCTAAAATTCTAATTTTAATTGTATTATTGTTATTATTATTATAACTGGAATTAGATATATGCACTGTGGGTAGCATTAGGTTAGGGAACCGTGGCATTAGGGTATACACACCGTGGCGTTAGGCATATAAAACCGTGGCATTAGGTATTATGGCTAATGCCACGGCAATAATGTTGCCGTCGCATTAGGTAGCATTCTAATGCAACGGATCATAGATGATGTGGCATTAGGTCTCATATGTCGTTCATTAGACCTACTGCAACGCCAGCAGATGCCACGGTACATAATCGTTGCATTAGGCCTAATGTCACGGATTTTCACACCTAATGCAATGGATTTAGGGGTTGCAATAGGTCAAAAATGTAGTAGTGTAAGCATGATTCCTAAAGAAATTGAGCAATAAAACTAATCACTTTGTTGCCTCGTATCTCTTTCTATTAAAACAATACACACTTTAGTAACTTCAATAAAAATATTAAATCAAACGATATATTTAAATAATACTAATGGAGATTTGGGACCAAACCTTCAGAAATTATCAACCTTTCACGTATAGGGCAAAGGCAACTTTGAGCTTGGATGGGTGTGTCGAAGTCCCGTGATGGAGGAATATTGTATTATGTATTTTTAAAGGGAAAGTTTAGAAAGAGGGAGAAAGAACACGCTTCTAGCTTTGAGAGAGATGAGAGATGAGTGATGAGTGTCATTTATGGCACTCATTAGATGAGTATTTAGCTTTTTTTTACCTTCTTTTATAGCTTTCTTTCTTAATAAATTCTTAGTTTCATGCATTTTATCTTTATTTCCCTTTTCTCTCTTGTTTTGTGTTTTTATGGTTTTTCTTGTGTTTTCTCCTTTATTTATCTTCTTTTCATGGTTGTAGGTATTGTATGAGGTTCGGGTCTCGATATTGATGGTTTTCTAAGTTGGAAGATGCTTTTGGAGTAAGCTCATAGCATTGGGAAAGCTTAAGATGCAAGGAAGTGGATGCTCCAAGTTCTAGCTCCTGCGCTCTCAAGTCGTGCCCACGTGAAAGGTGGTATTTGAACCCACCAAAGAGTCCATTTAAATTTGCCATGTTTAGTGTTGATCAGCCCCAATAGAGAAAACACGAAGCGACAAGAAGGCGGAAGAAACCCATAAAGGAGCGGGCGCACAAGCCACTTGTGCGGGCGTGCTGCCCAGCCGTGCGGGCACGCCACCCCTGTGCGCAAGTGCGCCCCTCCGCCCAACGGGCACTCCTCCCCTGCTTTTTGTCTTCACTCGATTCCTTTTTTGCGCCTCTATAAATACCTCTCTTTACCGATTTTTACAAGAAAGTAAGAGAGACATAATTTTGATCATAATTTTTAGCTTAGTTGAGAGTTTCTCTCTCTAGTTTTAGGGATAGTTTATGAGTAGATTTAGAGAGAGAAAGTGAGGAACTTCAATGATGATTTGAGAGATTGATGATACAAGGGCGACAATTTTGTTGAAGATCTTCTCTATTATCAATGAGCATTTCTAACTCTATCTCATCTTTATTGCTTGTTTGATTTCATATTTGAATGATTTGATTTTGATGTTTGATTATTAATTATTGCAATTATTCTTGATATTTTGTTGATTCTTGATTTCTTTAGTTGTTTGTTGATATATGATGATTCTTCGGTATTTGTTTGGCTAGGAATTGGGTGAAACTTGTATAATTGATTGATTGTGATTAATTTGGGAATTGTGTTGATTGACTATTGAGATTAAAGTGGTTAATGTAAGTTTGCATGTGTGTAGTTATATTAGGCCTTCAGAATTATGCTAAATTGCATTGTAATTGCTAATGACACGACCAATTGATTTAGGAATTGCAATTATCGATTGGTTTGGATTGTGATTCTCTTAGTTTGTTATTCGTAGAGACATCTAGCTTAACGATTAGGTGATAGCTCTATGATTCCAATTGATTGCTCTTATCATTAGTCTTCGCAACCTTTGATTGGCATGTTTGTCCCAAGTTGTTGCAATTGTCATGATTACTTGTTGATCCCCATTCCTAGTGATTGTTTGTTTAGTTGTTTGTTTGTTAGTTGTTAGTGTTACCTCTTTATCCTTATCTTCGACGTAGCTTAGGCGCCTAAATTGAAAGCATTTGAACATAACCGTTCCTTTGGGTTTGACCCTTGACTTACCTCTATACTTGTATTTAGGTTTGTTAAATGTTTATAAATTTAATTTTACTTAGGGAGGATTAGTCAATGACCTAGTCTTTCCCCTCGTCAAAATGGCGCTGTTGCCAAGGAATGGTATCTACATTTGAGTGTTTTTGATTGCTTGAGTCTAGGTCTTTGTATATACATTTCTTTTATTTGATTTTTGCTTGTTTTGAAAAAAATGGAAAGTATCTCGTTTTCTTAATTTGAAAATGATCCATTTTTGGAGTACTTTAATAGACTAGACAACTTCATTAGTTACCATGGTTGTGATCTTTGAGAGGCTTGCGAGATTTGTTATCATGATTTGAATGAGCAAACTAGAGACATTATTGAAAGCATGTTTATTGCTAGATTTCGAGCATTGTCAATCGATAATGCTTGGGACTTTATGTATGTTTTGCTAGAGACACTTATGATCATGGTTATTCAAATGTTTCTATTGATAATTATGATGTTCCATGAACCATGTATGATGATTCTTGCATGCCTACTTGTGCCCCCATTCCCCATTTTGATATATGATGGCACTCATTTCTCTAATGTTGATTCCTCATGCTTGCATATGATACCTTTCTCTATGATGCTCCTCAATGATCTTCACCTTTCCAATCTTTTGAATATAGCTTTGGGTCTCCTCATAATGAAATTGGCGGTTCATTAAAACAATTAGAGATGAATTCTAATTTGAAGCCAAATGAGATGAGATATTTGGAGATTATGAGAAGCTAAATGGAAATGTTAAAATGGATGGAAGAGAAAAATGAGGAAGATAGTAGGAGAAATGATGAGATAAAAAGTCAATTGTCTTCAATGATGAATGTGAACGAAGTTTCTACAACTTATGTAGATATGAAAGATGATGATGATGATTGTTTTGAGAGGTCTAAAGTATGTGAGGAGGATGTTAGAGAGCCTATGAGTGAAGAAAGGGGTATAGAGATGGATGTTTCTAAAGAGAGTTTGCATTTTGAACCTCCTTTCCTATTTGAATTTCGTTCAATTGAGCCTTCAGATGGAGTTGAAGACAAACTAAAGTTTTTAGCTTCTCTTAATGTTGAGGAAATGGTAATTCAAGTAATGAAGGATAGAACATTGCAATTTTTGAAGCGTGGATACGTTGTGAGGAAAGAGAGAGATGATGAGGAGGATGAAGTAGTTTCCATGGGAGAATGGATGTTTAAGGGTGATGAGGACCAAGAGGTTTTTAGTGTTGAAAAACCTATTAGTGAGTCTGTAGGGAATATATTACAAGCATTATACCCTTTGCTTGAACCCCACTGTGATCACACACAAAAGTACGGTGGCGTCCAAAAGGGAAGAAGATAGAGCAAAAGAGTCGCCAACAAGTTTTAGGAACTTGTAAACCATTCAAAGGGTGAAGGTTACACCCCTTAACGATCCAAGAGATCGTCAACTCCATAAGGTCTAGAACCAAATAAGGGTTCGGGGATGAAGGTACAAATCCAACCTAAAAGAGATTGAATCTGCCCTAATAATAGGCCTCTACTTTATTCTGATCGTATTCATGTGCGCTTTTTAATTAACATGCAGTCAATAGGATTAACCTTAAACCTGTTTATCTATGTTGGTTGAATATAATGCACAAATAAACTATTATTGGTGATCACTTGAATTATAATCAAACTAACCCTAACAAGATTATTAATTATCTTATTAAGCGTGATTACAAGTACCAATTTCCCTTTAAACATGTATAAAAGGCGTGATTATGCAATAACAAATATATAATCAAGCAACATGACAATAATAAATATCATGGATAATAATTATAATAATCATGATAATAATCATAAATAAAATAATCATCATATTAATAATAATTAAAATAATATTCATAATCATCAACATTATAACAATTATAATCATAATCATGTTCATGTTAATATTAAAGCATAATAATAGCAAGATCCTAGGCATGATACTAACAAGATTAATAACAAACCCTAGCATGTCACTAAGCAATAAAAATCAAATCTTTAACCCTAACATGATACTAACAATCATAGATATTAGGAAGAAAATAAAAGACATCGTAACAATCATATTTAATATTAAAATTACCCTAGACATGATACTAGGAATATCATAATAACAATTTAAACATGATTTCTACATCATAATATCAATTAATCTATTAAAGTACTTACTTTGATGCCTCGTACCTCTTTCTAATAACAAAATACACACATTAGTAACTTCAAGGAAAATAATAATAAACAATTAAATTAAATAATGGAAAGAGAGATTTGGGACCAAACCCTCAGAAATTAAACCTTTCACGTCTAGGGCGAAGGCAACTTCGAATATGGCTAGGTGTTTCTAGATCTTTTGAATGCGGAATTTTGTATGTAAAAACAAAGTTTAAAAAAGAAAGAGAAAGAGAAGGATGATTGAAATAATCAAGAAAACTTGATGAGAATTGGTGAATGATTAAGAGGATTAGAGAATTAATGATTGCGAATAAAACTTGATTGTAAGTGAGAATTTGTGAACGAAAACAGAGTTTTTAATACGTTATTTATAGAGAAATCAGCCAAAAAGATAAAATATCAAAATAGTGCACTTGGCGCACGTAAAACGAGGTTGGCGCACGCAAAACAGAGCTGGTGCCAAAACCAGCTAATTGGCGCCAGACGCCAATGGCTAGCACCAGGCGCCTGGCCTATTTTTGACGCATTTTCGAAAATCAGATAAGTTTGCCATACTGGAGGATAAAATCGTATCTTTTCCTCAAATATGCTATTTGATTTTAATTAAAACTTTGAAAACTCAACAAAAGTCAATTTATCAATACTAATTGAATTAGGA